CCAGTTTTTCTATCACCAATGAAACTTCATGCTCAGTGAAACCCATTTCAAGCAAACGTAAAGTTTCTCCATAGTCCCAAATAAGGCTTCATTCGTACTCTCTGATAACCAAAAAGGTAAAGAAACATATTAGATGTTGTTCAACAATATATAACACATGCATGGTTTCGTAAACCAAAGGTGAGAACAGACATTGACTCCAAAGTATATACTGCTTCTTTTATTTTCGTTTCCTTTTTTGAGAAGAACAAAAGATACAAACCACTTGCACCAATGTTGATCCCTTAGAACTTTTGAGCACATTGGCACAAGGGGACATACCTGTATGCAAACAAGTATTTTGTCTAACCATGCTTGCATGCAGCATCACACCACTCACAATATTTACACCTTCCACATGAATCACAAAACTCACGTTGCATCTGTATGTCCCCCTAATCTGGATGTTCTTATCTCCACTTCTCTGCGAGGCATTGGGAGGACCTAAGGATCATAAGATATTTCTGGAGGGGCTGGTTTGGCTTCTTTCTGGGTCATTTTGGTTGGAAGAGAGATAGAACTTCAAAAGGCAGTTTCAGCCACATCACGTGCTTTGGGATAGAATGGTTTATTCTCCTTATATTTGAGATAAAGCACATGGTTCCTTTCGTGAATGTCTTTATCTACTTTGAAAAGGGAAATGGAGGAGTCTTTTATTTCAATTTGAAGCAGGAATTTGAAAGCCAGCTAATTGATGCTAAAAGTGCTTCCATATAATTCTCAAAATCAGTCCTGTTAGCTGCAAACCATTTCCAGTAACTAGTGGCCAGTACGAGATTTCCAGGCGAGCTTCTCTTTTACTGTGTTCCCTGCTAGAAAGCAGTTCTCTTATGCAAACCGGGAAAGCCAGTCTTTGTCTTTCTAAAAAGCCATTGCTAGTCGTGCTTCCATTCAATATCCATCTGAGTTTTTGTAGTCATTTTGTACGAGTTTAGAAAAATTCCTTTCTTTATATTACTAAGGGCTATACATATGGTTGAAGTGGTAAGTTTATCCACTTCATTTTGCTTGTAAAAATACCTTTTTTTCGCTTATAAAATACCTTGTCTTCCCTTCTTTTGTAACAGATGCCCTTTTCCACTAATAATATTTTTTCTTCTACAGAAAAGTAGTTTGGACTTTGGAATATCACCAATGTCTCTGCTGTTTTAATTAATTTCCTTTGGAAGCTCATATGGAAGGGAAGAATCAGAATGCTTCCCCAACTTCATTTTTTTGTCTTGGGAGGCGGCTTGAGGAAGAATCCTGACAATGGACAATTAGAGGAAAAGAGGCAAGGCATTAGAGAAGATGTTTTTGGCCTAAGAGGGATGAGGAGAATCCTAGGCATCTCCTCTTATCGTGTCCTTAGTCTAATCTAGCATAGGACAGTGCCCAATATCTTTTGAAGCTTGACTGGGTTTGATGATCGGCTGTAGTAGAAGTTTATCATGCACTGGTGTCGAGGCAGATAAACAACAAAAGGGGACTTTTGGATTCATTCGACTAGCTCTCTAATGTATTACACACAGAGGAGATGAAAAAGAAAGGCTTTGAGAGCCGACAGTTGTAGCTGCAGTCCCCTTAGCCAAAGTAACAAGCTAAGACTGAAAGTAAAGAAAATTGTTATAAATTCTGAAATCATGAACGTCTGAGCTTACTTTGAGGTATCAATAAATCGAAAAAGAAAAGTAACAGAAAAATCATTATCCAGACCTCAATTTTTTCTTGCCAACTATCTGGTTCCTCTTCTGTCTCATTTTCAAAATTTTCAGCTATCTGTGCAGCAGCAATGAAGTCAACTATCTCATGAAATGGAGCATCTGCACCTGATGTTTTAATTGGAAAATGAAACAATGTTGTACATATTTAATTGCAAAATATCATATATGCCATGAAAAGAAATTGCTAGAACCAAACCTGAGCTAATGCCAATGTTATTTCTCATAGTTTACATAGAACAAAAACTAACCCCAGTTACATCTAAAGATAACATCACAGAAATGTAAAACTGCCTCAAAATAATTTGATAATAGTAGTAGATAAATAAACTGCTGCCAATAATACTGACAATTATTATATTTACTCTTTAAAAGATCTAGAACCAGAAAGTCTATAATTGCATATGTTTTGGATGTGTACTTGCACCTATTGCTCAACTAAAGTTTTTTTTCCTTGAAAGTGCCATTTAAATACAATTTGGAACAACTATTACCATCAATTCACAGCAACATAAAGCCTCAAGTTACAGAAACGTCCTCCCAACATAAGTTGATGTTTACTCCGTAACTCACATGTCAACTCTCAAGTTTATCCATGGACATAATGAGGTCGTTTACCAATTCAATATGACAAAAACCTTAATCCTCTATCCTAATTGAAAGCAACTCTGAGTAAAAATCAATTCTCTCTAGAGTGTTTCTGCAAATACAACATAAAATTCCAACTCCACGAGGTAGAAAAGGCTCCAAAAGGGAGGAAAAGAAGTAAAAGAAACTTGAAAACATACCAAGCTTATTCAGAGCAAACTCAACTTCATTTACAGAGAAGTTCATCATTAATAGGGATGCCCTTTTGTCATGAATATCTTGATCAATTATATCAGGCTCCTGTAAAGGAAAAGGTGAAGAGGAAATCTAAGATTAATCCAAACTAGAAGCAGCATACAAAATACTAAAGTTTATTCCACATATATTGGCTCCAGCACTAATCAGACATCAGAAAAGATAGTTGGCAAGGTTTTACCTCAAGAATTAATATAGTGGGAAAAGTAATTGATTCTAGAATTAATTTTTAGGGCACAATCTTAGCACTTATTCCAATAATCCAGCAAATACATTTTGATAGGGACTGCTGACAATGATCAAAATAAGTTATACTTGCCAACAATTTGTCAAACTCACCATGTGTTGTCAAATAAAACTTTTCTTGTTCATATCAGCATTCATCATGAATTTTCTTGCTCCATTCTTTTCATGTTTCAATAAATTATAGGAAGACAAAAACCAAATAGAATCATGACATAACCATTAACAGAAAAATAATACGTAAAGAAAACCAGAAGACAGAGAATTGAAGTGTCTAGAATGGGTAGCTTTTTTGACTTCCTGGTGAACTGATGAATACTCTTACTGCTTAAAGCGATCATAAAAATTTACACTTCACCCAAATGGATGTTTGTCAGATTACAAACTATCACAAGAAACACTTTCTCATATTAATAGATCAAGGCAGGTTACTACCTCTTTAGGTTGAGGAACACTAGAAATTTCTGGGAGACTGCTCGTATCCTTTTCATCAAACAAACTATCCAAGGAGTCTGACAACTCTGAATTTGACTTAGGAGCATCCTATTTTATTGCAGAGCAGGTTGACTGTTAGAAGTTGAAATTTGTTTGGAAAAAAAATGCAGGAGTTAGACTTCTCAATTCTTTCAGATACATTGCTTTTTCTTTTTGGCAAAAAAGAATTATTATCAAGGACAGAAGAAGAAACAAAAAGGCCTTCCATATGCATTGTGCTTCTGACATTTGCAAAGTTTGTTATAGGATTCGGCAAATGTAGAAAATATTCAAATCTCCCTAGTGAAAAGGGAGGAAAAAATAACAGTATGCCAAAGAAAAGCTGACTACTTACAGAATATCTTATGAGAGTCTCCACTAACAAATCAGCATCATCTTCGCCTATACTTAAGAAAGATTATCATTAGTCAGAACTTCAAAAGTGTATAGGCAGATGATACTAAAACTTTTAATAAAATTAAAAGTACATGTCGATACATGTACAATTCATTTCAAGATGTCAGGAAGGCCCAAGAAGCCAATTCTAGGCTGTGCTAGCAAAGATCTTTTCCTTTTCATCAGACAGAGAATTTTCTTTTCTTGGAAATGAATATAGGAAGCTACCGCCATACCTGCCCTTACAATGTGATGTATGTCAACAAGATAGAAAGTAATAAAAAAAAAAAAAAAAATTATGCTCAACATCACATACCCTTTTCTTCAATCACTTTGTCGACAAGAGATGTTAGAAACCCCATCCCAATAAGAAATGATCTTAAATTGCTTCCCGATGAACTTGCCACATTTTCCTGAAATTTAGTTAGAAAATAAGGTAAAAAATATGAACTTCTAAGTAAGACAGGCAACTCGTATGCGAGTATCTTAATTTGATGAAATTAAAAATATCTACATAGCAGTCAACATAAGAATATTCTGTATTTCAGTTTCAATTAGAAAACTGAAGATTTATCATGTATCAAGTGATGGTTGTACAGACTGTACACAAGAAAAAAGAAAGTTCCTACAACTTATTAAGGAACAGGGATCCCCTGCCCCCTCCAGAAAAAAAAAAAAAAAAAAAAAAAAAAAAGGAGGGAAGAATCATATCTGTAGAGGCAAGGGGTGATGACCATTAATACGAAATAACTGAAGTTCAAATTAAGAAAAAGTTTCGAGTAAAGTTGTTTGAGGATATTAGGCAGCACAATGTAAAGGCCTGGTATTTCAATTGGATTTTTTAGTAAAAAGAAGTACTTTTAAGAGTCTCTCTCTCTATGACTTAATCACCCAGTTGAAATTTTGCACAGCATTCACGGAGAAGATCTTAACTCTGAGAACCAAATAAGCAAATTGAAGATCATCACAGCCTCACCAATATGGGACAGAAATGAACAGCACCTCAAACAAGGAGAAAATACAAACAATACAATTGCCAGGCAACAAATCCTATCTTCAAAAGACAAGGCAAGCATAGGGCATACCCCTATATGCCTTGAACACACGGTTTCAGGTGGCATCTCAAAGTCCTCTATCTCAGGCTTAGGCACTACAACCTGCGGCCCTTCCGGTTGAGATGAGCTCTGGCCGTCCGTGTACTTTCTTACATCCCCCTAAACACAATTCAAGCACTAGAATCCATCAGCACGCCAGACTTTGTCCTAAAACACAAAATTAAGGCCCTGCACGCTATAGTTAACACATACCATTATAAAATGCAAGCCCCAGAATAGTCTCGCATGGATCACTAAGACCTGCAAAACCGAAAGCTCATCAACTCGACCCCGATTATATTCATCACCTATTTATGCCGTAGAAAAATAACAATTCCACATACAGAAGAATTCAATTATTGATAATTGGAAAGGAATAAGTTGAATGCGAGGGGGACGAGGAGATTAGCACGAGCTGCCTGCTCTGATCATCTTGCTCTTTAGAGAAGACGAACTCGATTCAGACTTTCACGGACACAGGAAGGTCTACATTTGGCTATGACAGTGAGAAGTAAGTGGCAAGAGATGCCCTCTTTGGCTCAACTCACTCATGGGGAGTCGAGATTGCATGTTTCGTTAAGTTAGAAGTTAGGACTGGTGGATGAATCATAACCGTATGATCTCGGAACATGATTAATAATAAAGACAGTTTTTGAACGGTTGATATTGTAGGATATCGTTTTCAGTTAAGTTTGAATTTAACTAGAGCGGTCCCTCGATAATTTAACAGATTAATTAAAAATATTTAATTAAAAATTTACTAAAAAAATAAATGTTACAAATATTTTTTTTATTTTAAAATAAAATTAATTGGAAAATATAATAAAAATATAATTATTATGTTTATAAATTCTATAAATATAATTACAATATTTTAAATTTTATCATTATATTTATTTTATAAAAAAGTTAAAATAACTTAATTATATATATAAAATCTATAATTTTATTTAGGCCTTACAATTACTCAAAAATTCTACATGTATAAACTTCATTTGACTTAATTTTTACTTTTTGTGTCAGAAATTTTTTACTCATTACATAGAAGACATACATATAAACCCCCAATTTTTTTTAGACCGACAAAAAAATATATCACTCTTAAGAAAGACCGATAAGATAGTAGTAATGAATTCAATCAAACAACGAATTAAACGGAACAAAAAAAAAAAAAAAGTATCTTTTCATTCTTTTAGGGAAAAAAGAAAAAGAGAAGCAAAACAAATCCATTACACATCTTTCGGAACCAATTAGGACAGAAGCGGAACTTAGAAAGAGTAATTTGTAAATAAAATATAACAACAACAAATAACCGATGCTGAACTTTGAAGTATCCGATTGGTCAACCTGTGACATTGGACTTCAATAAGATAACAATCCTGCCCGTGTAAAAAATACCAAGTACACCCCATCGCCCACAGGTGTACAATTTAAGCCCCAGGACCCAAGTTAAATAACAAACCTACTCATCAGTAGTGTTAAGTCCCAGTCTTTGGCTGAAGTGACCTGGGATCAAGCGGAATGGTCCCCACAGTTAAACTATTAGAAGGCCCGGCGGCAAACCCGTTGACTTTGACAGGCATTGATCCTACTGTAACGACGCTACTACTGGGTTCAGTATCACCGGTAACTGCCACATCTGCCACTGTTTTTGGCTCAGCATTTCTCGGCTTTATGGTGAGGAAACCAATTCTTAATGAAGATGCAGCATCATCTTTAACTTCACCTGCAATTTGCTCCACTTTCTCGTTCGTATTATTTGTGTTTATGACATTAGAATTTAAATTAGCCGCCTTCTCTGGAGAAGCCATGGAATCCCTTGAGCTGTTAAAGTTGTAGGCCTTCCCAACTAACCTCTCGTTGTTTGGAGGAGGTTCCACCACATATTTTAGCTTGTTGGCAGACTCTAACTCAGATACCAAAAAAGGACTTCTCAAGCTTTTATATACTAGCCTTGCCTTCTCTTCCTGCATAAGTTTTTGGCGATTTTCGTAGTAAATGAAGTCGTCAAGCAAAGAAGTTTTTGCTCTGTGGTCTTTGAATATTTTCATCATCTCTTGACCTTGCTCATACATTATCTGCATGTTAAGAAAATATCTCAACAAAGAACATTCGGGGTTGTCAATATTATCAAATTCATAACCTGAGTCCTTGGTCCTAAGGCAACTGTTAAAGATATATTTCCTAAAGGGTTGGCAAGGACCGACAAAAACACAAATGAAATCACTACTTAAAAGTTTATTTCCTTTGTTATGATGGGCAAACTATCTTCTATCTTATTTAATCACTATTTACCTTCAATCTTATTTAATCACTGTTTGCTACACAAATGCAAGACGCTACTAAAGCTACTTTGGGAACAAATGAACTATTTTGTAGAATTTATTTTAAATTAAAATGTACTATTCCAATTCGACTTTAGATGTTTATAGTAAGAAAGAAATAGACGAGTTATAACTCAGGTAAATGCTTCCAAGGCAAATGATAAACTATATTAAATGAGCATAACTCAAATACATAGAAATTCCATAAAATTATGTTCATCTGGAAAGAGTCTAAAATGAAGCTAATAAAGGTCCTAAAACAAGATCCCATAGGATTGAAATAGCGAGACAATCGTTGATAAGATAGAGTAAGCTGGAAAAGAAATCATGCGGCCAACAGCAGAATCTGCCACTCATGCTTGTTAGAAAAATGTCCTTACTGAAAGAGAACCAAATTTGTGTTCTATATTGACAAGAGTAACACCAATTCTGAGGTATGATAGTGCAGATAAATGCTAGCAAATTTTCTTTCTATTATCTCAAAATAGACACTAAACAAGCTGAATCAAGTGACAAATATGCAAAAAGAAACAGGCAACAAAGACTAATGGATACTATAGAGTTTTTGCCCTACAGCATTGGAGCTTCAGACAGAATTCATAACTGTACCAGGGAGCATTTTCTGGAGATGCAATAAAAATCATTTAACATACCTCTTGTGTATCTCTGCTGTTCGTCACTGGCTTGTTCTCATTGTTCTCTAATATGATATGCCTAAAGTTGGTATTCGGTACATCTTTAATGAAGTGCCACTTGACAGGAAAGCTCCCACTCCACTTATCTTGCTGCCAAAAATGCATATCTTTATGGAAATCCACAGGACCAACCATCTCCGCAACACCACAGAATTGACCACTTGCATTAACCTGCATGGAAAGAGTATTATTTCCCAGCTTCATTTATTAACAGAAAGGCAGCAAGGTCATGATTGGTCTCAATAAATAGTCAACTGAAGCAATAACTCACCGAAAAGAACAAGAAGATGGGACAGCCAGCAGGTTTCCCTATGGCAAATTTCTCAGCATCTTCATATGCACTCTGAAGTTTCTTGTTCCCATGGGGAGTTGATGACCAAACATTATATTTAATGCTCTTGTGGACATCATCCTCACTGTATGATTTTATTACAAAAAATTTTGCATCAACATAATCTAGTGAGAAATCATCTCTGTTATACTGATCTGCATTGATCACAATATTGCCTTGGGCATCACCCTCCCCAGACTTGGTTGTATAAGCTTTGACAATGAGTTGATTTTTCGATCTGTTGGTCCTAGGACCTCGATTCTGCTCACCCAATGCATCTGCGCTTCCATTCACGTCCTTCAAAGCTCCACCACCATAAATCTTTGGGCGTTGCTTATCAACTGGAGCCTGTCAATTACCATTTGATTCAAAATCAGACAAGATATATATCAAATATGTACAGGCCCACACACGGACTGATACACGTGTTATCTTATCGATTCACAAAAGGTTAACAGCTGAGTGAAACATTCCGCAAAGAAAATATGAAGGGGGTGGGAAGAGTACCTGGAAAACATGGGTTGAAGCTGGATAAGGAAAACCACCATATGAAACACCTCCACGTACCCCTTGTTGCTTACTTGGTCCACTATTAGCCCTTGGCCCTTCTGAAGCCCAGCTCAAGGAGTGAGTTTGACTCATAACAGGTTTTGGAGGGTTCCTTGGAAAGGCAGTAGACGCTGAAGCAAGATTATTCTTAAATCCTCTCCCATCTTGTCTATTAGCAGCCGCTGCACCAATTTCGAATAAAGGGTCTGAATTATTGGAGATGACATCTGGTTGGCCAATAAAGGGAATATAAGCAGGTGAAGATAGGTTGTTCTGATAAGGAGGGACAGGGTAATATTGCTGGGTCCCAACAAGTGATCCATCAACACCCACCATGGCACCAGGTATGTAAGGGTTGTATGGGTTGTATGGAGACTGTGCATATCCATAGTTTGGAGTATAATATACATAAGGCAAAGTTTCAGTTTGAGCACCCTGAAAGAACAATGTTGTCAGAGAGCAACACAGTTAAATATCTTTTTTTGAAATAAAGCACAGTTAAATATCTTATGATGAATGTGACATTGCATCGGGGAGCAGGGGGGCTAGAGAGAGAGTTCAAGTACCATGTATTGGGTATCTGGACCATCTGCACCAAAAATCCGCTGGTGGTCCTCCCATTCGCCGGGTGATTCAAGACCTAATACGTTCAATCAGCAGGAAACAATGAGATGCATAATTTTTAACCAACATCGAAACCAATAAACAATATGGACTCCTCAAATACCTGTACAGTAATAGCCATAGTTTGTGGAATTCGGATAATACAAACCCTGATCAACAACAAAATCAGGGGCTCCTTCGTTGTACATAGCTTTAACTTGTTCAAAAAGTGGTGGATTCGTTGACGGAAGGTTTGATCCAGCACCTTGAATCTAAGGAAAAAATATGGAGATATTATTAGAATACTACAATGAAAAAATTACAGAAACACAGGAAAGACTCAAAATAATATGAAACAAGATTTTCATCTGACCAAGATAATCGAAATCCAAATAACTAAAGCAGCAAGTGCTAAGTAACTACCAGATGATTTTCTCCATTCCCTTGTCCAGAAACATTATACATTTCCATTCCAAAACTGCAGCTCTCCTGTACAAATTTACAATAAAACTTACACATAATCATACAGTTCAGTATACTCAAGGAGATTTTATAACTATCTTGAAACTCATTAGCTTCAAGAATAGACAAATTCAAATGAACAAAAATCCACAGATGGAAATAAACATACAAGAAGCATTTATCCTTCAATAGCCTCATATACAGGAACACACATGTTAACAATGTCACTAGAACATTTAAAATGAACAAAAAAAAACAAATAGAGGGAAAATTAAGAGCATGAAGCATGCAAAATATTTCTTACGAAGAGTAAGAAATATTTTCTTCGCGGTACATCCTATGGCTATAATAAGCCTACTAAGAACTATGAGATCTTAATGAACTGTCTAGGATTCTATAAAAGTGAAGAGCACTGTTACCTTCCATCCTGACTGAAAGCTTGATCAATAAGTCATTTATGGATCACCTAGAGATCACATATGTTTTTTTTTTGTGTGGACTAGAGATGAATAAATACTACAGTTACCACCCGCGCTCTTACTTTTATCAATGATTCTTAAGCAAATTAAACAAAGTACTTGGTAGGAATTTTTGAGTTCTAAACTTGCTAAAACAAGTCATTTCACCGTACAGAAGGCCATAGCTCTAGTCTGCCTCAGCACCATATTATTCAGATAGGTAACAGAGATAAAGCCAGAGTAAAAGTGGCAAAAAAAACCGTAGCCAAGTAAATATTAGAATACCCTCCGGCAAACTAGAAACCTTTAATAGTCATAAGGCCGCTGAACTACGTTCAAAAAAGAAATTCAAACAACCGCGATGAAAATTATTCAAGGGTTATTTCCAGAAAATATGCAAAATAAAAGAAGCAACACCAAACTACTAAACAAGATGTACAATCAGATAGATACATGCGCAATATCTGGTAAGAGAGAAGTCAACTCTTAAACTACTTGATAGAACTTCCAAAATTGGCAACATGAGCGTCAAATTAATCGTCATAATACAAAATTGCTCTAATACTCCATACCAGTCGAAGAACACGAAACGTTCCCCCAATAAAATTTGGCGAAAAATATAAACAATTATGAGGATTCTCGAAACCAATAACGTAACCACCGAAAAGAGGACCAAGTTTAAAGGAAAGTCACCGAGTTAGTCCGTATAAAGCTAATGTTCAACTAACTGAAGAAGGCGAAAACTTAAGAAACGAAAATCAAATATAGATAAAAGAGTTGTGGAGTGAAATATCGAATCGTACCTGTAAAGAGCTGAATTATGCCATGCTTAACCTACAAGGTTGCTTGAATGATGAATCGATTAATGTTTTGACAGAATATAGAGCTTTCTGCAACATTTCCTCAGAGTAAAACTCGAGTGAAAAAGAGAACCCTAACCATATACACAAGAGGAACACGGAGATAAAGCGGGATATGGAAAGAGAGAAGCGAGAGCGGAGAATAGGTGAATAATAGGGGAGGCTTGGACCGTCTGGTGTGGGTTAAAGAAAACCAGAGAAACGCGCAAAGAGATCCTCAATCCAAAACGCAGCGTTTTCGCAGTCTTTTACGTGCTCTTTCGTAAATGCCGAAACTGGCCTCTTTTAGAACCGTACATATCGAGACTGCCACTGAGGAAGAAAAAGACGAAATCAAGTTACCGTTACTGTGACCGTCAGTTATATTTGAAAAAAAAAATTGAAAAAAAAAAACGGTGACGGCTGGTTAGAACTTAAGTAAGTACCCGTTAAACCAATTTCCATTGTCTTTACTTGTTTTGACTTTAACTATTTTACGGTGACGTTAATGTGACGTATACGTTTTATTTTCCTAATTTTTAATAAAATTTAATTATTAATTAAATTTTCTTTTTAAATTTACTTGTTAATTAAGTATAATTTCAATGTTCGGTAATCTCTTATTCGAAAAGCTCTTCCAATGACAAAACTACGAATCTCATAAAAAAATTAATATTAAAAAAATAAAATGATAATATAATAAATTTAACAATACTAATATTTTACTCGAATTCTAGTAATTACATATTTTTGAACAATACGAAAAATTCTTATAATGATAAAATAATGAATCCGTAATTCAATATTAAAAAAAACGATAATATAATAATTAGTAATATAAAACTCTTACTCGAGTTATATTAATTATCTGTTTTTAAATTAAATATTATTAATTTAAGATATATTTCACGAGTATATTTTATAATGCTGTCGTGTGTTTATTTTATTATAATAATTTAATGAATAAAGTTTATATTTTATATAAAGATTTTTCTGACATTATAAGAAATTAAATTTTTAAAAAAATTATAACAACTAATAAATTAGAATTATTATTTTTATTTTTTTAATATTAAAAATTTTGTTAAAAAATATAATGTCAATAATTATATAGACTAACATACAAAAATAATAATAATAATAATATTATTATTATTATGAATGTGAAATTTAAATAACGGATCTTAATTATATATAAAAAAATCAAAAAAATTAATTACACAATAATGACAAATTTAATAGTAAATTTAAGCTATCGACCTTTTGTCTTATTAAAATATTTTTTATAATTTATATCATAGTTTTGACTTATGCTTTTAGTTTTATTGTTAAAAAGCTTAGTGCCAACAAACATATAAAAATAAGCACTTATAGCTAAAAGCATAAGCTATCTCTGTATTTAACAAAAGAAATTAAAAGTTAAGAATATATGTATTTGAAAAATATAATATGTCAAATGATGTAAGGAATATTTCTAACGTGCATATTTTTTAATTTTAGATTTTATAAATTAATAAATTAAATAAGTTATAGAAATAATTTATTATTATTATATATTTGTTATAATTTCGAAACTTATTATTAATTTTGTATCATAATTAATTAAATATAATGTAACATTTTATATTTATATTATTAAGTTGGCAACGTGCAGCAATTTAGCAAACACAAGCCCAGGCCCGACCAGCGGTACAAGCTGGGCTTATAATTTACGATCGGTGAAAGATATACTGTTGGGCAACTCCTGGCCGCACTGTATCTTTTCCCATTCGCTGCACGCAACAGAACCAATTAGCAGCCGTCGGATATTTTAATCCAACGGTTTCTACGCACACATTCGTCGAATTTCATCACACGCGTTGATCGTCAAAGATCCATCCACCTACATCAAAGTCGTCGGTTCTCAGCCTTCCAAATTCATCGAAACCTGGACCGCCACTGCAGGTAAGCATTTCTCTCCAACCCTAGCATCATCAAAATATATGCCTGAAGAAGCTCTCCCTGAGGTTTCCTCCCCAAATTTTCTCAGTATATATTTTTTGGTTCTAGTCCAAAAAGAAGAAGACTAGAACTCATCGGTATTAGTTTAGTTTTTTCTTTTTCCCCCGTTCTCATTTCTTTTATCTAATCTACAATTAGGAGAATAAAAATTAATTTGAAGTTCCATTATATATATAGGAGGTATGTAATTTCTACAAACTCTGCTGCTGATGCATTAGTTTCTGTGGTGGTTTTCTTGATTTTTCTATTGGTTTTTCTGTCGATGCGATTTTACATATTGCGTTTTTTTCACATTTTTCGATTAATTTTTTAGGGTTTATCGATAATTGTTCGTGGGGTTTTCCTTAATATTGTTGTATTACCGTGTTTTTATCGGAATCTTTCAAATTCTGTGTGTTTTTTCGTACTTCGTGAATATTGGCTCGGATAGGGTCTGTTGCCAACTTGCTGTCTCATTTAGGGTTTTGCGACAATTGTTAGCTTGCTTGGCCTTTAGAAATGGTGAAGCTGATGGTTCATTACGTGGGATATAAAATGACGATGTTTACCTCAGCTGCTCTGGATGATTAATATGCAGTCTTGGCGCGTTTCTTAGAAAAAAAAAATAAATGTAATCTTGATTCACTAAGGTTTCGTGTGAATTAATTTTATGAAATTATGTTCTTATAATGGCCTAGTCTAGAGAGTACGAGAAAAGATTGAGTGGGATCTATAAGGTTTGTTATATTAAGGCCTGGAAACTATTCTTGCCTCTGCCATTAATTTGAGAGTCTTGTATCTGGTGTTTCCATCGCCTTTCAATTAACTTCCTTAATTATATGTGATTCCCTCTCGAGGAATAATTGGTAATTGACTGAATTCATCGTGTTTTGTTATTTCTCTATATTAGGCAAAAATATTGAGCCGTGCATCTCTAATTGTTTTTAGTGAAAACAATTATAAATGTATTATTGATTCACTGAGGTTCTGTGTGAATTAATTTTATGAAATTATGTTTTTATAATGACCCGGTCTAGAGAGTACAAGAAAAGATTGAGTGGAATCTATAAGGTTTGTTATATTAAGGCCTGGAAACTATTCTTGCCTCTACCATTAATTTGGGAGTCTTGTATCTGGTGTTTCCATCGCCTTTCAATTAACTTCCTTAATTATATGTGATTCCCTCTTGAGGAATAAATGGTAATTAACCGTATTCATTGTGTTTTGCTTTTTCTGTATGTTAGGCAAAAATATTGAGCCACACATCTCTAATTGTTTTTACTGAAAACAATTATAAATGTATTCTTGATTCACTAACGTTCCGTGTGAAATAATTTTATGAAATTATGTTCTTATAATGACCTGGTCTAGGCAGTACGAGAAAAGATTGAGTGGGATATATAAGGTTTGTTATATGAAGGCCTGGAAAGTATTCTTGCCTCTACCATTAATTTGGGAGTCTTTTATCTGGTCTTTCCATCGCCTTTCAATTAACTTCCTTAATTATATGTGATTCCCTCTTGAGGAATAATTGGTAATTGATAGTATTCATCGGTGTTTTGCTATTTCTGTATATTAGGCAAAAATATTGAGCCAAGAATCTCTAATTGTTTTTAGTGATTAATTGCTTTTTTAAAAAAATTTCATTACCTAATAGGGATTAAAGCTAGACAACGAGTTAGATTATCCAGATTTTGATGTGAATGAACCACTAACTTTGGATGTGCATTTTACCTGGTTGTAGATATATTCATTTTCTGGAGGAATGGCAACAGCTGAAGCGGCTCCAGTCTCTGCTGGTCCACGGTATGCTCCTGATGATCCCACTCTTCCACAGCCTTGGAAGGGACTGATTGATGGGAGCACCGGTCTTCTTTACTACTGGAATCCAGAAACCAACATTACTCAATATGAAAGACCTGCTGCTTTACCTCCACCATTGCCACCTGGTCCTCCTCCTGCTTCTACCCCTAAGCTGGCTCCCATTCCAGTAGCTCGTACAGCGCAACAGAACTCTGTGGTATCTCAGCATGGTCAGCAACAAACTACACAAGTTCAGCAGGCGCAACAAATGAGCCAGTTGCCTCAACAGCATGGTCAAGCACCACCTCAGCAGCCTGGGCAAATAATTGCACAGGCTTCTGAGCAGCAGGGTTCACAAATGGTACAAACTATGCAACAGCCTGCCCAATTTATTCCGCCGCAAATAAGACCTCAAATGATGCAGCATCCAGTTATTTCTCAACAGCCGGGACAGCAGTTCCCACAGCAACAGGGCCAGCCAATGCAACAGCAGACTCTTCAGCAGATGCCCCAGCAGTTAGGACAGCACATGGTGCAGCATCAAAACTCTCAGATGGGACAACAACAAGGCCAGAAGTATGCACACACACAGCTGCAGTACATGTCATATCAGCAAAGTATATTTCCACCAGGGCAACAAAGTTTGCAGCAGCAGACTCAGCTTGGTTCTCAGGGCCAGCAATATCACAACCAACAAGAGTTTGTTACTGCATTCCCGAAGAGAGAGGAAGTTGAGTTTCAACAAGGCAACCAAACTGGGTTTTCTCCATCTCATTTTCAACAAACAGGTGCTCAAGCCTCTCAAAACCACCATGTTGGAACTAATTCAGTTCAGATGCCACAAACAGGTGCACGCATGGGTCAAAGTCAGCAGTTTGGTGGCCCTTCCCACAATATGCAACAGCCTGCCCCTGTGGTTCAGATGCAGCCAACTGGCAGTGATTTGGCTCACCAGCAACATGGTCCTAGGTTTCAGAACCAGATGGGCCCAGGAATGATGCATCAGCAGTCTAATGCTTCTCCTTTTGGAGTAAAGAAAGGTTATGAGGATAATTTACCTGGTAGAACTGTAAATGACTTCTACTTCAATGCAAACAAGGAAGGACCAGTAATGGGGCCTCAGCAACCTAATCTTGCAGGAATTCCACTGGTGAGCAATCAGCTGGCATATTACTTTTGATCTTAAATTATTCTTTTTGTTCCATGTCCATATATCAGTCATGCTAAGGAACTACTTCTGGTGAATGGTGTTTTATTGGAATTATATGGAACATCCTTTTTCTGCTTGAATATGAAAAAACAGCTAAGGAGATTGGAGTAATCAATTATAAATAGTTTGCATAGGGACAATAGAGCTGTAATGATAAACAGGAGGCACAAATGAATGACTTCTTTCAACATTTCTGCTCATCCATTTCCTATCAGATTAACTGATGCAGGATGATAAAAGATATTACTCATGACAAAGCAGAATGAAACAAGATGCTTCTTGTTGCTGATCCGTCTATGCTGGAGGGGAGGCTTTTATTGAGTTGAGCTAAATGAATACAAGTACGAATAGAAGTAGGATTCAGCAATGAAGCTTTTGCTGAGTTGAGTTGAATGATCCAAATTAGGAATAGGAGTAGATTCATATTATTTAGGTGTTTCATTTAGTGAGCAGCCATGGGTTTAAGTTTAGCTTTTCAAAAAAAGAAAAACATAAAGCAAGCATGGACTTTGTCCTCAACCACGGCCTATTTGTATGTTTAAAATGGGACTAGCTTGTGTATCATCTCTATGTATGTCATGAAATATAATTATAGACAATGAAGAAGCAAATTGAAATTGATATTTTAGACATTTTTAAGCACATTGATCTTTTACAAAAAGCCATTATGGGAAGCAAACAACATTTGCTATTAAAACAATTGGACTTTCTTCTACTATGAATGTGCATGAAAAGTATTTATGGGCGACAAGTATCAGCTAGACTTACCGTTTAGACATTTCTTCTTTTGTGTGCATGTCTGAGTGTGTGGTCTCTATATGTATTGCAAAAAAGGACAAGAACGAGCGAGATTCTAAGTTTGTTTCTAGACATCTTTTTAATGTTTTATTTTAAATATGAGTCCTCAAGCTAGATTTGGAGTTGTGTTTTAGACATTTTATCCTTAACTTGTCTGAATGTAGTCTGTGTGTATATGTGAAAAGCTACTACGGGCAAACAACGAAGCAAGATCTGCAGTTATTTTTCTATGCTATCTTTTCTCCCTTTTTAATGCTTGATTTGGAATGAGTAAGCATGTTTCTTTTTCCTAAACTTGTGAATTGCTTGAATGGTTAACTAGATATTAATTTGTTTGTTTCCACCGCATTAATGAGGGTAATAGCTTGGGATGTACCCCAGGAATTGCATTTTTGAACCTATATAATGAAGTTTCTGCTCTTTTAGGAGATGCGAATGGGTGGGGTTCCAGTTCAAAATGTTGCACCCAGTCCTGCTGGTACTTTGAATGCTGTACCAGGGCATTCCATGCATTCCACATACGGTCCTGCTGGTCCGCCATTTTCAAATAATGCTTTGATCAGACCTCCTTTTATTGGATCTTCAGATATTCCAAATGCTAACCTCTCTCCTGCTGAACTCTATCGTCAACAGCATGAAGTAACTGCAACGGTCCGTGGTTAATTCTGTTTGATGTATTTGTTTGATACTTTGATTGGGCATCCTTAGATTACTAAATTCAGATTATAGAATATATTTTAGGTGTAATGCCTTCGTATCATCCTTCGAAGAGAATATGCATGCATTAAAGAAAAGTGGGGTTAAAAGAGAACTCAGTTGACTAGAACCTGGATGAAGAAATTGTTAAAAATAAAGAATGCATTTAAGTAACTAAGCAAAGCTACATTTCCTTTATTTGTGTACTCTTTGGGTTGCTTATAAGTTGGATATTCTTCTTCTTTGCATAGGGTGACAATGTTCCACCTCCATTCATGACATTTGAGGCTGCTAATTTTCCTCCAGAGATATTGAGAGAGGTATGTTTGACATGAGGTGTGATTTAATGTTTTAATTCCTAGTACTGCAGACCAACTGTGAGCTTTGATAAGTTTGTTTTTTAGATTTGATTAAGCTTTTATCAGTTTTTTTGCGCTGTGATTTTGATCCTCTTGTCCTTTATCTTTTATCTTTTGAACTCATCAGTTCTCACTTGTCGCAGGTGCGATATCTGCTCCGGAGGAGGAGCAAATGTCGTACGCTGCACTGCTGTTGGCACACTTACACGTGCAACAACTATTGTGATTTTTGGAGGCTGCAAAATGGACAGTTGGAGCCTTCCCTGAGCATCTTCTAGAAGGGTGGTTAGCCCTTTATCCATATCACACCTGATGTGACTGGGGTTTCTTGCTTATTGGCTCTGCATCTTGTCTTAATTGCCCTCTTTTCTTGCCTCGAGTTGCTTGTGTAAGCAACTGTACTATAGATTTTCAGTTATCTTTCCCCCCATCTATATGATGTTTGTAAAATGCTGTTCTTTGTGCTCTATTTTGCCACAGCAATGACATAATTTCTTTATTTTGCTGGGTGCTTATAATCAACATTCATTCTTTCTGTTTCAGATACATTCTGCTGGCTTCTTGTCTCCCACTCCAATCCAGGCACAAACATGGCCTATTGCTCTACAAAGTAGGGATATAGTAGCAATTGCCAAAACTGGTTCTGGTAAAACATTGGGCTACCTTATTCCTGCATTCCTTCTTCTTAGAAAGTGCCGTAATAATCCTCAGAATGGCCCAACGGTGTTGGTTTTGGCTCCAACTCGAGAACTTGCTACACAAATACAGGATGAGGCCATTAAATTTGGCCGATCTTCAAGGGTCTCATGCACAGTGGGTTTTCTGTTCATTAATCTAATTATTTTCCTTTTTGTTTTCTGGAAAATTAGTTTATTTTCAATTTGGTTCCTGTTATCAGTGCTTGTATGGTGGAGCTCCAAAGGGCCCTCAGTTGAAAGAACTAGACCGAGGGGCGGATATTGTAGTGGCAACACCTGGTCGCCTAAATGACATCCTGGAAATGAAGAAGATTGACTTTGCACAGGTTTCACTTCTTGTCCTGGATGAGGCAGATCGAATGCTTGACATGGGTTTTGAACCCCAGATCCGTAAGATAGTGAATGAGATACCTCCACGCCGACAAACTCTTATGTACACAGCAACCTGGCCCAAAGAAGTAAGGAGAATAGCAAGTGATCTTCTCATCAACCCTATCCAGGTGAATATTGGCAGTGTTGATGAGCTTGCGGCAAACAAGGCTATAACACAGGTAAACCGTGAGATAGTTTATGTTTCCATTGATATCTGGAAACTGAAATATTGATAGTTCAATCACGAGAAATTTTTTTCGAAATTGTTGTGTCCATGATGATATCATGTCTAACTCTGCTAAAAGTAGGAGACAGGTGTTGGTGGTTTAAACAAAATATTAGTTGACATTAGATAATTGCTCATTTAACTCTTTCTTGCTCTTCTCTTGGTACCTTTTTGAAAATTCCTTTCGATGCCTTTTGGTCACTGCTAATTGGTTGGATTTTAGCCATGGAATGCTTAATTTTCCTTTGGCAGTTTATTCACTGAATTGGTAACCTGCCCCTTTGTTTGTGAGATATTCTTTTCATTTCAACTATCTTTTATGTTAATTTAGTAGGTCTCAGTCACCACACTTTAGATTACCGATATTTGTTACTTACTGAACGTAATTTTTATTTGTTCATTCCTACCTCCTCTCCCACTATGGGTTGAATTCTTCTTTTTTTTGCGTGTCTCATTGGGCTTAGCTCAACCGCTCTTTAGGGATATCTCATTGGTAATGTTGCAAAGGGATTGGGCAGTGGTTTATATTGATTTCTGCTTTTTTTTTTGTTTGCTTGAAGGATCTCTTGTCCTTCATTGATGTTTTTTTTTTTTACTCATGATATATATTTTTTAATATAAAAATTTGAATCTTTTGCAGTACGTTGAAGTTGTCCCTCAAATGGAGAAAGAGAGGCGCTTAGAGCAGATTCTCAAGGCCCAAGAACGGGGTTCAAAGGTTATAGTTTTCTGTTCTACAAAGAGGCTGTGTGACCAGCTTGCACGTACTGTTGGCCGTAACTTTGGGGCTGTTGTGATACATGGAGACAAGTCTCAAGGTGAGAGAGACTGGGTTTTGAATCAGTTCCGGTGTGGGAAGTCGCCAATATTAGTTGCCACTGATGTCGCTGCCCGGGGGCTTGATATCAAGGATATAAGGTTTGTCTTTCATTTCTGTATGATAAACTTGTGGGAATCTATGGACGAGAATAAAGCCAGAGTTGACTATTCATTGCACATGGTAAGCTATGTTATACTGCTTGTATAAGCTGGTAGGTATGTGACGTTAATTTAATGTGCAGGGTGGTGATAAATTATGATTTCCCTACTGGGATTGAGGACTATGTTCACCGGATTGGTAGAACCGGGAGAGCTGGTGCGACTGGAGTGTCATACACCTTCTTCTCTGAACAGGATTGGAAATATGCATCTGACTTGGTTAAAGTCCTAGAGGGGGCTAACCAGCATGTGCCTCCAGAGGTGCGCGAGATGGCTTTGCGTGGTGCACCAAGTTTCGGAAAGGATCGAGGTGCTATGAGCCGTTTTGATTCTGGTGGTCATGGTGGCCGTTGGGATTCTGGAGGTCGTGGTGGGATGAGGGATGGTGGTTTCCGGGGCCGTGGTGGAATGAGGGATGGTGGTTTTGGGGGCCGTGGTGGCATGAGGGATGGCGGTTTTGGCGGACGTGGTGGCATGAGGGATGGCGGTTTTGGCGGGCGTGGTGGTATCAGAGGTGATTCATTTCCTGGACGTGGAAACAGAGGACGGGGATTTGGCGGCCCTGGTGGTCATAACAATTGGGGGAGGAACGAAAGGGGCCTGCATGATCGGCATGGTAATGTAGATGGACGTGGACGCGGACGCGGACGCGGCAGATTTGATAATAGAAGAGATATTGTTGATAGGAGTAGAGGCAGAAGTTATAGCCGTAGTCCTGATCGTGTTCGTACGTGAGGTTATAGTCAGAGCCGCAGTCGCAGCCGCAGTTGGAGCGGGAGTAGGAGCAGAAGTAGGAGCTGGAGCCGCAGTCGAAGTCGAAGTAGGAGCCTAAGTCGTAGCCGGAGCTGGTCACGTGGCCGTAGCCGAAGTCGGAGCCCTAGTCGAGATGGAAACCGCGAACATGGTCGTAGCCGAAGTCGAAGCCCTAATCCTAATGATAGTCGTCACCACAGTCGAGAACGTGGCCGCAGCCGCAGCCGGAGTTACAGCCCTAGCCATAAATATGAGAAGCCCCATGAACAGAATGTTGAGAAGAAGGCTCGTATTAACTCAGGATTTGACGCTCCCAAAATAGAGATGTCTCCCATGTCTCCAGGCGGCCAAGGCCAAGGAGATTCATTGCCAGTAATTGAAGCTGTGAGACCGTTACTGAAAGTGGAAAATTCTGAACTAGCTCAACCGGAGGCTGTAAGTGGTCGAGTCGATCAGCCATGAAACCCCAAATTCCTGAGACGTCAGATTTGGCCGTGTCCAATTTTTGTTGACTGAATGGCAGAATTCTGTGGTGTCGCCAGTAGCTAATATTTGGGCATTTTGGCCGCCTTTAGTTGTTACTTACATATGATGTGCGTTGTATTGGAATGAGGTGAACTATGGCTGCTTTTGGATACTGTATTCTTGTAGAGAAATTACAATGTTATATTCGGGTGAAGTAGCTGTACTTTTTTGGGAACTGAGAAAACTTTATGTCGTCTTCCCTCATCTTCTAGATTTGGCTTTTTGTATTGTTGGAGAAAAAGAAAAACACAAACATGAAATTTGTGTATGATCCCTTTCCGCTGAATGAAAAATGTTCATTTGTTGATCGTATTTTCACCTCTCTGTATTTGTTATTTTTTTTTCCTTGAGAAGTGGACTAATTGTGTTCGTATGTAAAGAAGAGTGCCGAATTCTTATATGCAATGACGAATGACTACAGAATTCAGGTACCATTTAGAAACACAAATAACTGTTTCTCTTTTAAGTTTTACCATTTCTTTTTATCCTTTACATTATTCGTTTCTTTTGCCGGCGAAACAATTCTGGTTCTTCCTTGTGGTAGAAAAACAAATACATCTTCCTACTTCTAGTTTAGTTTTTTTTGTTTTTTTAATTCTTTTTTGGGGTATCGTTTATCTTTCTTTTCCATTTTTTTTTGTCTAACTTTATTTCTGATTAAAAAGAAATTTTAATTATTTTTTTTTTCATTTTATATCGAACACAAATATATGCAAATTTCATTTTTAAAAAAATAATATTATAAAAAAACAAGAAACTACAAAACGCAGGTGCAGGTTTACAAAAAGACCGAAAACAGCAAAACTACAAAATGTTAATTTGCCCGAGCATAATCCTTCAAACAAGTAGTAATAAATTTATATTTACTTTAAAATTGAACCAATTTTATTTCAACGTTAAACTACTGCAAATATATATATATATATATATATATATTCACATCGTTAACTAAAAGTAATAAATTTAACTTGACTTAAGAAAATAAAAATGCAATACTATCAACCCAATCTAACTTATTTCTATCAATATCTAAATTTTGATTCTGTAGAGAACATTCATAACCAAACATAAGAGAACATCAGAGTTGGTATCAACTTCCAGCCATCCCTCGAATCCTATGCCATGTAACAACTCCCTTAAAATGCATACCCAAGATGCTCGGCCGAAAAAGCTCTACGGCTTAAAACAAGCCACAGGAACGCAGCCGCCCCATCAGCTGACTACTTTTTTAAATTTTACAGCCAAAACCCAACTTTTAAACATCCGGCACCAGGAGCAATAAGAACAGCAGATCTTTCTAATGGTAGTACCTATATATATATATATATATATATATATATGTGTTACACGATCAACTGATTTCCTCAAAAAAGACAAGACACCACACCTCGGACAATATAGATTTTATCAAAATTCAATTGGAAGCAAGAAAAAAAAAAAAACAAATGAAATGACGAATACGAATATACCAAACCTCTGGCGACGTACCAAAATTAGTATCCTCGGAAGAATAGGTTGCATTCAGGGAAACTACGCACGAAACTTGACACAAGCTCTGCTGGCAAGGCCTGGCCTCGTATGAGGACGTGGTGGTATTTTTCCATCAGCGAGAAAACAACTTTCTGTTGATCAACTTCTTCTAAAGAACCTGAACGCCAAGAAATTTACAACAAAACAGTTAAGCCTGGAAGTCCACATATGCAGCTATCCTTGCACTTAGAATAATGCATAATGAAATAATTAACTTCTCCAAAAGCCCACTAACCACCGAAAAGTAGGAAAGAAAAGAGAAAGGAGCTGTTAATTTATTTGTTTAACGTGACCAATCATGTGCTTATTATTATGTATGGCGCAGTTAGCACTTGCTGATTCTTTTTCCGCTCTGTTTGGCTTTTGTAGAAACTCAATGGATTTTTCAGGCTACCTTACAATCCATCCACTTTTGTGATCACAGAAGATAATTTGTTTGAAGAACTTATACCAAATAACCAAAGAAAAAAAAAGATCAAAGAACAAGGAGCCTAAATCTAATGGTAGACTCTAAGATTGTTGTGGTAGGGTTTCTTGCATCTTTAGCACCAAACATAATAGGATTGGATAGGATGTAACAGGATTAAATAGTACAAAGTCATGTATTTGGTTTATTCAAGTTTGAGAACTTTAAGTATTATATCTAATTACATAAATAATACTGTGATGTAATTTTAATTAATAATCTAATCTACAAGAAATATATTTGAAATATAAACGTTAATAATTTAATCTACAAGGAACACATATTAATAAATCATAATTTTTTAAATTTTTATATTTAATAAATGATTTCAGATAAAATATTAAATTTAATAAAATAATAAATATATTAACAATAGTACCTTGAGATAAATTAAAATTCAGTAATTGATGAGACATAATTAAAAAAATTATTATATTAAAACTATTAGTTAAAATTAAAACTAAAATTGATCACGATTTGTTAAGCAAGCAGAGTAGTAGTATTAAAGGTTAATAAAAAAATATATATATATATTATATTATTTTTAAAATATCGGCTAAATGGATGGACAACAACAATACTACAAATAGCAACTGTAATTGTTTGAAAATGAAAAGACAAATAAGGTGTTTTTGAAATTTAACAAAACCAAGTAATAATTTTTTATGGAACAAAATAGTAGTCTCACCATTTTGAAGAAACAAATTCGTTCCATGATTTGAAAAATAGTCATATGCAGTCTAATCCAGTCCAGATATTTTTTTCAAATCATCAAACAGACTAGACTCTTCTGTAATGTCCAGTTCTGTAATATAATGCTTATCAGATGTTATCTTTACATTGCGGTCACATAAAGAATTAGAATATAGTTTTTTACGCTTAATTTTACCTCTATCCCTAAATGCTTTAAATTCCTATGAATTGAAGTGGAGATTGAACTACACTATATGTTTATATGTTTCCTCCCTATCCACATTAAATGCTCTCAATTCCTATGAAATAAAGTAAGAATGAATTCTCACCCCCAAGGCAAAGGAGAGGTGAGATCAAACCTAAAACATGAAGGGTAGAATATAGTTTTCGCATTACTCTTAAAACTTTGCATTAAGAGCAAAATGAAAACTAAAGGTAAGAATGAACAAAAACAGATTACAATTAAACAATACAGCATAAAAGCAAATAAATGCCAGACTCTATTGATGCAATTTAAAAAGTAATGTTTAATCCGCCTCCTAATTTCTTGGATTTTATATCTTAAAGTTAGTTTAAAGCCAAAAAAGGATCTACTTCAATTAAATAATTTTTTCATTATAATAGCTTTAAATTTATGAATGCAATTTGAAGCAAAACGTGTCAAGAGAATTACCCAAGATAGTTTCATGTTCTTGATCCTCCAAATCTCCCTCTTCAATAACTGTACTATTTTCCAATATGGCAGCAGCTTTAGCATATCTTTCCAGAAAATGTTCTTCAGTTTCTTCAGTATCATCACTCTGGGAGTCCTGATAATACAAAAAGAGTCATGTTACAGTAGACAATATATGTGATATCTATAGACCATAACTACAATCCAAAAAAGGAAGGCATGGCTTTGACATTCACTATCTATACCTTTGATAGACAAAATTATTTCACTCATTAGATGCAGTACCAATAACTTATATCACTAATTATCTGTTAAGATCACAATTTGCAGCAATCTATTACTCTAAGAGTACCGTAACTAACACTTCCGATGATAGGCCATGGTACTCCAAGTAATACCTAAACTGGGTATCCGTATTAAGACTTACAATATAGACCCACTATGTTTTGTAATGCTTCATATTTCACATAAATGATGTCCTGAACCATCATTATATATGCTAAATATCTAGTTAGATTATCCAAGAATATCATAGCTAAAACTTCAGTGTGATGGAGGTACTACAGATATGCAAGCATGTATATCCATGTATTATATTATAAAAATATTCTAAAAATGGAACCTCGTCCTCATCTTCTGTTCCTTCATCATCTTCGCTGTTCTCATCATCTTCATCCTCTCCATCTTCATCATCTTCCATATTTTCCTGTACTTCTTTCAGCCTTATAGATGCATCCATAAGTGAAATAAAGCAGTCCCGCAGCAGTCCTCCACTAGTAATCCCCACTTCCAACAACCTCTCAAGTACTTTTGCGAGTGCCATTACTGAAAATAAAAATTACTTAGTGACACTACAAGTTGGTCAGCCCATAAAAATTGTTTCCAGATTTTCTGAAATAAGAAGACAAAAAGGAGAAGTTTCAACATTGATGTTAACATCTATAATCAAATTTTCGATAAGAGTAATTTCATTTAAAATCAACCAGATAATAAGTCAGTCGAGAACTGGTCAGCATTTCAGAAACTATGTAGGAAAACTTTCCATCCATTAGGCAAGTGTTGAATTATGAAACAGTATCACCGTAATAACCTGACTTGAGAAGCACCCAAAAAACAGCAGAATGGCAATCTTTTATGAATCTCATTAGTCAAAATCACAAGGAATACAGCTCAGCTTGCAAGTAGCTGCAAAAATATGTTAAATAACCAGATGAAAAGAAAACACACAGGCAAACTGCCATCCACAAAGACATGCATACGGGCATCATTGTGAAGAACAATTCTCAACATAACAAAAAAGAGGTACTGACCTCCTAACTTTATCTCAGATTCTTCTGAGAGACCAGGTTCAACAGTGCAAGTGCAAGCAGAAGCCAGTGAAGATGCCCAGATTGCAAATCCTCCTTTTTCCTCCTCTAAAATCTCCTCTACAATATCAGGGAAACACAAATAACATGATGATATGACAAGCAACAGAGGCTTCCACAGGGAACAAGGCTTGCCGCGAATTTTTCGGAAATGAGAAAATGCTGCTCTGCTGAACACAACTACCAGTGCCTGCTTCACACCTTCAGTTTCAGATGAGTAGCTGGGGACATGTAGCAAAATGTGGACACATGAACAAGCCCTCGATGTAGCAGATGGATATTGAAGAATAACTTCACTAACAAAAGTACTGAGACCTTCAATAATGGACCGTTTGGAGACAGGTGGAGCTGGTGGGGACGGGATCTTTCTAACAAGGAAATTCTTCAGCCCATATTTATTATCTAGACTAACAACTTCCATAATGCAGTCAAAGACTGCCAAGTCCTCTGATTCTTCCCAAGCATTCCAGTTCGCCAGCAGATCAGCCCAAGCTAACAACAGTTCTGATAGTTTGAGCTCCTCAATGACACTGCTTTGGGTAATGGAGAGCATAATACAGTGCAGCAAAGTAGATGAATAATCTATGCATGATGATGGAGCAAAAACTTCATCTCCCTCATTCTTTCATTTCACAGAAATTAAATTAAAATCAATAAGATTTATGTCTAAACATTCAAACTAAAGAAGTTATTTAACTTTAAGCATCGATTTCTTGTTAAGTAAGGGGCTAGGCAGAGCAAATAAATAAAGTTAGAAGTTACTGGTGCTATTCTAAGTGAATATAGAAAAGAATCCAGTATTTTACCATGGAGCTTGAAAAGAAAAGTTGATCTTATACTAAATTGAGCATTGGGTGGATATGTTACTCAAGAGCAGTCAAATTACTATATAAAGTTTTACAAAGAACAAAAAACTAACCAATGAAGGCATATGTGTAAGCCAAGCTTGTTGCAGAAGAACTGACAAAGATTTGGCAATGGCACCTCGGCCACAATCCCAGTTGTAACTAGATTGATTCTGCTCAACCTCTTCAGGCATGCAACTTTCCCAAGTTTTAGTTATCACTGCTAATGCCTCAAAGCCCTGTTCAACCACCTGAACAAATAAATTTTAAGTAATTAGAATAATCATCATTTAACATTCACGATCCCTGAAATTAGCACAGATTATGATAATATATGCTGTAAACATAAAACAGTTGAAAATCATGGGTAGCAGCATTTATAGAACCAAGCAAAGGAATAACATATGGCAATAACAGTATGCAGGCATCTGCTAAAGAAGCAAGTGGTTCATTAATGAATTAAGTGTGTGGATATTAAAAGACAAAAGAACATATATATATATGGAGAGAGAGAGAGAGAGAGACCGAGTATCACATCTTTCAACTACACTAAATGGTTTAAGAATGGTCAGTATATATCCGCATCTCAAAATTTTTAAAATAAATAAATAAGGTTACCATAAAAAGATGATGCTTTCATAGTAGCAACGCAATATAAATAAGTGCGTACACCCACCACAAAGGACAGTCTGCACTGTAATCATTACATCCTTCAGCTGCACTTTCAATACTAGAAATCAAACATTCTTTTCTCTTACACCTTTCCCTTTTCTCTCAATTATTTTCCATGCTAGAGAGCTTATTGAATAGGAACCACATTTATGACAAACCACTGTGCTAGCAGATTTGACACATACTTGAGG